GATATTTTAGTGCAGGATGATATTTTGTCCTTGGATATCTAATCCTAAAATTCGTATAAAAGACATCCGGCGTGTTCGATTGCCTTTATACCTATTTTATAATTTCTACGACGCAATATAATATATAAGTTCTACTATATAATAGCTGTACTGCAGGGTGTAGTGTATTCCTATTATTTATATGCCATTAGATACTAATGACGGCCGTCTCGCCAATCTRTCACCTACTGCCTGCTGTTTGTACCCAAGGTTAATACAGCATTGTTACTATTAGCAGTKGGGGCGCCAGGATTTTATACCTTGTAAGGCCAAAATTTGATGCACCTTTATATCCTATATAATTTACGTGTAAGTAGTGTGTGGCGATGGCTTAGATATCACTACCACTCACCAAGATATTATATAGTTATATAAGTAATTCGTAATTCGTATGTTGATAGGAATATTATATCGTGCTAATTTTTAAGTATTTTTACATAYACGGTATTTTTTTTATGTYATATGCATGCACTTATATAATTTATGGTATACCGTATACCTGACTACGTTTAATAAAGGTTWTGTCCTCTCCATACGAAAAAATAATTTTTTAGGCTTAGTGATGAATAATGAAAACAGTTTACGGTTACGAAAACATTTTATTATGGTTTATTATACACTGAACGGTAAACGTAGAGAACCAAAATGTACATGGGTATAGGTATATAATAATATATTATACTACAATAATCTTTTATTATYGTGATGAGCGGGCCCCTTTCATGCATTCACTTTACAGTTGTTGTAATTATACATATATGCATTGGGTTTTTAAATATAATACGATCCCTATTACACTCATTGTAACTTGTATCTAACCACTATATCGGAGAGCGTATAAATAGCAATATATTTTGACAGAAACTCCATATAATTTTCAGAACTACACAGGAAACCATAAAACCATTAAATCAAATAACAGATGACGGTTTAAAAAAAAAAGTCGTTTTTATTGTTGATGTAGGTAAGGAATTCATACAATATATAGGGAATATTATAGCATCATGATTCGAATGACGGTCGTAATCCCCACAAAATATATGTTAGGTACACATATGGCAGTATGGGTAAATACAAAAAAACACAGGGGTCTCACAATAACAGGAGATATACACCTATACTTGGTCTGTATATGTGCATGTGCAGTGGCACAGGAATTACTGATACGTGTACGCGCGTTCGGAATGCGACGTTGTCATTTTTGTCGAAACCTTCTCAAWGCGTAGTTTAGTTTTAATGGAATTAACCCAAGGAATAGTATTATTACTGTATGTAATGTCGATTTGAAGCAATTCCACCACTGGCAGGTGAGTAAGGTATGCGCTTAAAATATGGTTTTTTGTGTACAAAATATTATATACCTTCGTTTACTTGCTAGAGGGTTGGCAAGGGAAATGATAATTTACAACGTAACTGATAAATATCAAAACATTCGAAACGCAATTTCGATAAGATCGATTTACTCGTTAATCGATATACACTTATATATATATATATAATATCTGTAGTATTAAATACTACCTTTTTTTTAATGAGATTGTAACATAATATCAATTTTATAATTCGACCATATAACAATATKAGCAAAAACAATTATAAAACTGACAGAAAATAAAAGAAGAAAACGAATAAAGAACAAACTATTCAATTTTTAGGCCTGTCTGCAATGGAAAACTACGTAGGGCATTTCGTGATGATTACATTAT